TTTCCAATCTTTCAAAACTGACCTAGGCTAAATACTCACCAAGGGAGCGATTTCAAGGCTAGAGGGTATCACCAATGGCTTTAGAATGGGTTTTCCAATTGATTTCAACACCAAAATCAAAGGATTTGGCCAAGAAATGATGGTTTTGGAGAGCAAAAAGATGAAGGCTCATCAATGGTGGGAGGGCTGTTTCACGCTAGAAAAGAAAGGGAAAGGAGAGAGAGAGCTCGTGAGGTTGAGGGAAAATGAGGGAAACTTAAGTGGGTTTTGGTTCCGCGGGTCCCACACGCGATTTAACTTTAATGAAACATCTAATTTAAACCACAATTTCATAAACTACGTATTTTTCTGGTTCATGTCATATTTTTGTTTCCTAAAAATACTGATAAAAATTTCACGCTTATCGGTACAATTATACCGCAGTATTTTTACACCGGGAAAATCATTATTCATCAAAACTTTCAAAACTTGCCTATTCACTCGATTTTTCGTCCTGAATCCATTTCCGGCATTATTTTTATCATTTGAGGTCTTCTACTCAATTTTTCATGCCTCGAGTTACATGTTTGGTAATTTACCATTTTGCCCTTTTCACACAATTTGGCCTTAATTTCCGGATTTTCACTAATCCTTCCCTTTTAACCCACATTATAGCATATAATTTCATATTTAGATTTACGAGGTGTTATATTCACCCCACCTTTTTAGAATTTTGTCCGCAAAATTAAGTTATACTTACATGCTAACTCTGGATACAGTTGGAGAATCTCAGTCTCCCGTTCTCGAGTAGCTTTTCCCAAGCATACGGGCTTCACACTGAATCATTTACCTCACAATTTTCTGGCTTTTGAGCCTCATTTCACAATGGCCCAGCATTTCAAAGGCCCAATGAGAGTCTTTAATCCTTCCCGATTTCAACATCATCCGGTGCCACCATATGTGAACAACCGGAGCATACATTGCAGTTGCAATTTTCAACTGCACACTATTTCATTTTCACAAGTTGGGTTATATTACATATAGACCCCAAAATTTCTTTTTGAAGATTTTGCTAACATGTTTAGCTCGTCAACAGATCCACATAGGATCACATCTATTCTACTACACTTCGTGCCACATAGGCAACTATCAATCACTGACACATTTCATCCTATACTTAACCATCAACTTAATTTTATTCCAGTGAACTCTAGCACTTTCGTCAGGGAATTCCTTTTTTAGCAACACTCATCACATAGTCTTACTTTATCCAACAACCAGTTTCTCTATACATCATATTCCCCATTTCACACTGTTATGGAATCTCAACAGCTTCTCAGTGCAATTCACCGAGTCATCATCTAGTTCACGCTCATTTGCAATTTCATTTTTTGAGGGGACAATCCCCATTTACTGCATTTAGCCACAAGTTGAATACACATACATTTTCCTCAGGTTCTCAACCTACAACGTGCAATTTCAATCCTGCACCTAATACTCAACAGGCGCCATTCCTGTACCTTACACGCATCAGACCTTTTAGGTTTACTAACTTCCACCAAAACACGTTGGCGAACCAATTTCTCAACACATTTCACTGTGATTATATGGATCACACATTACAATTTCTATTTATAACGTTGGCCAATTCAGAGCCTTAAACCACCAATTTCACTCATGATTTTCTACATACAAGGCCACACCTGCCATTAACTTAGCCATCTCAAGGCTCAACATACAATTTATCATTGGTTTTCACTTTAAAGGCATTATGCCTAAGATTTCCATCAACTACTAGGTTTACATCTTATTCTATAATCTCAATATAGATCCCACACGCATTTCCTTCATGTATCTTTCGATTTCATAAGCATTTCATTTCATCATTTATGTGCCATTCAAACATATCATATCACATCACTTGCAATTAAGTCTCATCACATGGGAATTTTTATAACTTACTCGTCCTATTATAAGGAACTAAGTTCATCAATGTCATTACTCTCACAATTCATTATCAGTGGTATAAAAGTCTCTCAAAATATTTCAAATTACTACAACCTCATGATCATGTATCATGGTACCTAGCCAAAACAACATCAACATTGTGTATTTCCAACACGTCTCTCACCATACATCACATATGCAATACTCCATTAGTAACTCTACCACCAAGGCAGAGACAACACACTTTTATTTCCTTTAGCACAAATTTTATTGACCAGTGGTCGTCACACATTGATACTTGATTCCATCACGTTTACCTCTTATGAAAGGCCATCAGGCCACCAACTTAGCATCTCTTCATCACAAGCCTTCCCAGAAGACCTTGACTCAATCCATCAGTATTACACAATTCTCTATTTTCTTCACAGAGGGTGAGGCTTCTACAATTTATTTCTCAAGTTTCATATTCCCACACTTGGCATACTCACCTACACATCTCCAAGTAATCAAACATCATACTTCAAAATACCATCTCATGGAAACACACATATTGTATTCCATTTAACACACCATTATTCACTTAGGATTATCCTAATCCACCTCTTGCGTTCCTCATACGATACAATCCTCCAATGCTGTGGGTAAAAATATCCCAAGTTTAACCGCTCGAGCTCTTGCTGTCCTCATGGCCCCAGGTGCAATTACCCACCGATCAAAGAATTTGTCCTTATAATTCACGCAAGAAGAGGTAACACACTATCAGCGGTACTACAGTCCTACTGACACAGCCTACTTTTCCTATCACATTACTTATACAAGATAATACTAGTCTCCGGTAACATAATCCATACGGAGATAGACACACACTCCGGGCATATAGGCCGCGCAGAGATAACAAAATTCATATCACATCCGTATTTAATGGCACAATGTGTTTTGTATAAACACAAGAGGTTATCCACACATTAGTCTACTCATTCATCATTCAATATGATTCTTCAGTTTGCCTATTTATTCACTTGGCTAATCATCAGACCTAGTCCATAACATAATCATTATCACACGATTCCATCATCTTTCTCGTACATCAGCACATATTTCACAACTCTTAACAGTACCCGTACTCGGTTACAGTTCTAATCCATTGTCTAACATGACTCATAGCAACTATGCTCAACATCGTAGAGTAATCCATCAACCTTCTTAATAATCCTTCCTCTGTGTGACTGCAGAATACCTATTTCATTGAAACACCATCACTTTTCTCTCAATACTTCTCTACGACACAAGGAGTGCCAACACTTATTAGTCCTCGCAGTCAGCGATCAAGGACTGCAAGGTAAGTCTCAACTTCGAGCGGTGCTCGCCTAGGACTTCCAAGAGCAACACCTTTTAGGATTTAATCCACAAGGGAAGCCCAGGACAACCTTTATTGCCACATTATTACCAACATGTATACTATTGTGTAACTTGTACACCGGGACTCCATCATGAATCCCATACCAGATTGAGCGTCCAATGACACTCCAAAGAGACAATCTCTTCTGATACTTCCCCACATCGGGGATTTCATTGAGCATATTTATCCTTTTACCAAGAATTTAATAATTTGTTACATCACATAAATATATATAGGCACTCAGGCCTTCACAAAGGGTATATATATACTGGCACTTAGGCCATCACAGGAGTATCATCCATCTATTCATTAGAGTAATTAGACAGGTCATCCGGCCATTATGTCTTATTCACTACCCCTTACAAACATCCTTTAGCAATTATTCCATTTCAAAATACAACAATCACCCCTTGGAATTTCCAAGAACATCTCTTATGGGACAATTTTATCATGCATTATACCACCTGAACCTCTATCAAGGAACCATTCCAAATAAAATCCCCCACATTAATGCACACACATAATCAGATCACATCATAAACAAATCACTACTACTCAACCTTATAAAAGCATACTAATACCATTAGTACGCAACATTTAGTCATACTTTCTCATATCACATTTGTTTCCCTTATGACACATTCGTCAAGTCAAACCATCATCCCATTATGGACCGTTATACTCTCAATAAACTTTGTCTAATGCCATCCATGGCAATTTTTCTCAACTTCTTACATTGTACTCTCGATACATTATGATATCCTCACCTATGTTCGGTCAATATTAAATCATCATGGACTCAAGTCCCATATTTCAACATTGAAGTACCTAACACATCATTTCCATAGTTATTTTGAGGTACTCACATTCCTCAATTCAAATTTTGAAGATTCAAATTTCTTCTACATCCAAACATCTTAATTCATCATAGCGTGTGCCCTCCACAGGGACTTACAAACATAGTCTGACTAAGCTTACACATAATTTAAGATACTTCAAGCGGATCAATATTTACGGGGAGTGGATCCTCTCATGTGGAAAAGTGGTCATGTTATTTGATCACAACCACTCATTGATGATGAGATAAGAGAGAGAAAAGTGTATAATTTTTAAAAGAGTGGTTGTGATCAAATAACATGACCACATGACAACTTTTTCACATGAGAGGATCCACTCTCATATTTATGATATCAGAACATGATCCTAGGCTCAAATTGATAAGTGTTTATTATTAGAAACTCTTAATTTGAAGTCAATATGGGGTTTTGCAGGTAAATGAAAATGCCAGAAAACGTCCATTTGAGTACGTTGACAACAAGTCTTTGTGGAAAAAAATGAAAACCAATTCGAAAAGCAAAAACACATTCTTGGAATCGAAATGGCATCAAGTAAGAGAAGCTTTAGAGATAATCCCTCGGCACAAAGTAAGTAAAATTAACGAAACAATTTTTTTTTTGTGGTTTATTAATGTTATCCTTGAGATAACAATGAAACTTGTGTACTAAATATAACATAACATGTCAAGACTTTCAATTTCTCAAAAGGGTGCAAAGAAACTTTTTATTTTATTAAAGAGTAGTAATTAAACTGTAAAAGAAAGACAAATACATAATGATTTTGCATTGAATGTTGCATTCAATCATAAGCCTTTTATATTGTCCAATTTTGTTTCCAGTTGCACGTGCCTATCAGGAGAAATCAGAAGCTTAGCGATAAAGTTACAACTCTACAAAAGTTGGTTTCACCTTTTGGCAAGGTGAGTGAGTAACGTACCCATAAGTTACAATTTTGTTTCTCCTACAACTTCAAGAAAGTGACCTTAGGTTTCTGGATATACTGCAGACTGACACTGCATCAGTTCTTCATGAGGCTTCTCTTTATATCGAGCTTCTTCAAGCACAAATCTGGGTATATATTTAGTGCTCCTATCTTCCGGCAGATAATTAAGAATAATACTATATGATGAGCCTAAAACTAATCAAGTCCATTTAAAAATTTTACAGTTCCAATTTTAAAATGCATGACCTATGAGCATCTAGGCTGGCCTACATTTATTCAAAATTATATCATATAATTTTAAATAATATATATTTTTTGGTAATATTTTAAATAATATAATTTTTTTTTGGTAAAACAATAATATAATTAATCATTATATAATGCATGTCAATAAAAACAATATAGAATAGGCTTAGTAATTCATATATTATTAATTAATAATTAAATTATGTGTGAAAATCAATAATTTTTTTTCCCTTTTGTGTTTTAATTTTTTTTCACAGTAGGCTTAGTGATTTTTGTAAGTTTGATAGGCACGAAGGGGTCATAAACTTAGAATTGTGGAGGCTTAAATTGGGTAATAGGTCAGTCTCTTTACTTTTTAAAAAATAAGTCATACTTATAATTTAGTATGCATAAAATTAATAGGTTAGGTTCAGGTGATCAAAATATTCTAAGTATGTCTGACTTATTTAAATCAAAATTTAACTAGACGTAACCTATTTACTCCGTAATTAATAAGGATAGTTTCCCTTATTTTTCTTGTGGGCAGACACTAGACTATGAGACTCAAGCGACTTGCTCGGAGATTATTCTAATATATATATATATATATATATATATATATATATATATATATATATATATATTATTTTTCTTTTTGTTCTTCTGGGGGTAGCAGAATTTGTTTCAGATGCTAAGTGTCTCTTACATTAGTAAGGCTGAAGCCCCTCATACTCAGGTATAGATTATGAATTGTCATGCTGTGAAATTATTTTCTCATTTATTGAATGCAACATATTAATTAATACAAAGGTGATATATTAAATACTAACTGCTGGAGTCACATTAGGGATGTGGGCACAAAGTGCAGGTTGACTAAGAGTAGAGGACTTTGTTTGGTTCCCATATCAATCACACACGAAGTAACAATGGAAGACCAGATTCATCATGCTTCTGCCTCTGGAATTATCCAGCCCTGAAATTTCTAATTCAACAATTATGAACAGCATGATGCTGACTATATATATATATATATATATATATATATATAAAATCATTTCTACAGCTGCTTTACGTACAACAACGACAGGTGTATGGTTATGATTTTTCACATTTAACAGTTTGATATTTTGTATGGTTATGATTCCCCGCATTTAATGCTTTCAAATATATATATATATATATATACATATATATATGGCAAGTATTTGATTGTTGTACGTACAACAGCTGCAGAAACGTAAACTCCATATATATATATGGGAGGGTTATTTTGACTCCAGAGTAAGACTTTTAAATTTTACTCCTCATCTTAGCCATTAATGAACGAAAATCAATAGTTGTTATTTGTAATGTAATTAATAATTAATTAATATGACTTCCTAAACTATAACCGTTGGATGGACGGAAATCAAGGACTGAATGAGCAGTAAGACTTATAAATCTTACTCTGGAGTCAAATGATCTCTCTTTTATATATATACTAGTATATTACCCGTGCGATGCACGGGGGAAAAAGATCAAAAAATTTGTCGTCCGCCGTGGTTGGTTAATCGCACTGCAAACCTTATATTTACAAAAAACTGTGTTGTTATTTTGTTCTATATTTCAGGTGAAAAAAATTACAACATTGACACAGAGCTATGCAAATATCATCCACAAACAAAAATATGTTATTCAGAGGGATAATTAATTTTGTATACAACTACACCATAATACGTTATAATACACCATGTTAACATGAGAAAGGGATATAAAAAGAAAAATGCGTACAAATCATTGCTACCTATAACATTCATCAACAAAATCAAGGTAACAATAACACCAAGCAAATATGGATTTAAAATATAAGCTTTTACCTATAATATGAAAATGCTATTCATTCAGTGTCATTTCTTAGCAATCATTGGAGGGATGAGTTCAACACTTACTAAATATGTCATTTCTTGTGTGATTAAATAAGTAACACTAATATGTTAACACCCAAAAGTCATAGTATCAGCAAAAAAAAAAAGATTGGATTAAATTTTTTAAGGACCAAAAAAAATGTTGTCTGAACGAGATTTGAATGCAACTTAATCAAATAAGCATGTATAAGTCATATTTTTTGCTTAAATTGCAACAATTGCATATGAACAAAATAAAAGCAACTACACTAATCTTTGAGATAGACTTTCATTTATTGCAATCACATTTAAAAATTAATAATAAATAATTATTATTTGCAAGGATTTGTGTCGTTAGTATTTGGAATTTTACAAATTTGTACTTACAAAAATAAAAATCAGATTTAGGAATTTAATTATAAAAGAAGAAAGATGAAATTTTAATTTAATTATAAAAATGTGTTTGTGGGTCGGCCCTCTTGGCCGAGTCCAGTTGGCCACCTCTAACTATTAGCATGTAAAAGGTTTTTATATTTATCCACAAAAAAAGATTTTTTTAGTTGCGTCTAGGTTTTTATATTTTATCTCAGAGATGAACTTTCATTTACTACAATCGTTTTATAAAATTATAATAAATAATTTTTTTTTGGAAGAATTTGTGTCGTTAGTCTTTCAAATTTCACTAATTTATATTTACAAAAATTGAAATCAGATTTAGTAATTTAATTATAAAAGAATAAGGATAAAATTTTAGTTGAATTATAAAAATATATTAGCGGGCCGGCCCTCCGGGCCGAGCCCAGTTTTCTACCTCTAACTGTCAGCATTTTATATAAACAATTTTTTTGTACAAGGATTAGTGTCGTTAGTCTTTGAAATTACACAAATTTGTATTTACAAAAATTGAAATCAGATTTAGTAATTTAATTATAAAAGAAGAAGGATAAAATTTCAGTTGAATTATAAAAATATATTGGCGGGCCGGCCCTACAGGGCGAGCCCAGTTTTTCACCTCTAACTGTCAGCATTTTATATAAATAATTATTTTTTGCAAGTATTTGTGTTAATTACACTCTTGCAATAAAAAAATTGAAAGTTTAATTTCTTTCTTATGTACTAAATTAAAATTTTAATTTTTATAGTTCTTAAATTTTAATAATTTTTTTTTACAGAATGACAAACGTCATTTTTTATTTAAATTTAAAATTTAAATTTTTTTATATTAATTATACATTTTTTTATATAATTTTTTTCTATTTTAATTTATGATTTTTATATATATTTTTAATTGGTTATACATGTATATGTAAAATTTTTATGTTAAATACTTTTTTAAAAAATACATGTATATTATTTTAATTGGTTATACAGGTATATTTAAAATTTTTATGTTAAAATTTTAATTTATTTTTAGTAAAGTATAAATTATGCCATTTCTTATTTTTTTCTTTTAAATTTGAAATTTAAAATAATTTTTATCGACTATAAACGTATTTTTAAAATTTTAAATATTTTATTGTTTAATCTATAATTTTATATTAAATTCAAATTTATTATATATATCTTTTTTCACTGCATAAATGTTAAATGCTGAACTCTTTTCTCACATATCAAGTTCACATAATTTTTCATTTAATTTATTTCCCAATTTTGAATTTATTTTACAATATAAATAATTTTTTTATTTTACAATTTTTTTAATGTTTTTGTTTTTTCATGCAGCATTAATAGGGCTAACAATTATCCATGCAAAAAATAGTGGGATATACAACAAAAGAAAAGTATAGGTCTTTTTACTCGTAATATACAACAAAAGAAAAGTAGTGGGACATTAAATGAGTTGTCTGCCACACAAAATTTTCTAAAAGTTTTCCCACCATTACAAAGTTAAAAATTCAAATTTAAACATAAATTCAAAATTTAGAAGAGTTGAAATCCAAAATTTGAAATCAATTCAGAATTCGAATTTTAAAAGAATGAGCAATTCCAATGCAAAAAGCATTTAAAAGAGCTGAGTAATTCCAATGTACAAATCAGTGGGACATTGAACGAGTTGTCTGCCACCATAAATGATTAACTTAATTTTTCATTGATTTTTTATTTCGATTTTTAAAATAAATTATTATTTATTTAATTTTTATTTCCAAATCCTTTCCCACCATTACAATTTGAAATTTAAAATTGAAATCCAAAATTTGAAATCAATTTAGAATTCGAATTTCAAAAGAGTGAGCAATTCCAATGTAGAAAGCATTTAAAAGAGCTGAGTAATTCCAATGTACAAATAAGTGGGACATTGAATGAGTTGTCTGCCACCATAAATGACTAACTTAGTTTTCTATTGATTTTTTATTTTGATTTTTAAAAGAAATTATTATTTATTTAATTTTTTATTTTCAAATCCTTTCCCAACATTACAATTTGAAATTTAAAATTGAAATCCAAAATGTGAAATCAATTCAGAAGAAAATTCAAAAGAGTGAGCAATTCCAATGTAGAAAGCATTTAAAAGAGCTGAGTAATTCCAATGTACAAATAAGTGGGACATTGAATGAGTTGTCTGCCACCATAAATGACTAACTTAGTTTTCTATTGATTTTTTATTTTGATTTTTAAAAGAAATTATTATTTATTTAATTTTTTATTTTCAAATCCTTTCCCAACATTACAATTTGAAATTTAAAATTGAAATCCAAAATGTGAAATCAATTCAGAAGAAAATTCAAAAGAGTGAGCAATTCCAATGTAGAAATTTTTTATTTTCAAATCCTTTCCCAACATTACAATTTGAAATTTAAAATTGAAATCCAAAATGTGAAATCAATTCAGAAGAAAATTCAAAAGAGTGAGCAATTCCAATGTAGAAAGCATTTAAAAGAGCTGAGTAATTCCAATGTACAAATAAGTGGGACATTGAATGAGTTGTCTGCCACCATAAATGACTAACTTAGTTTTCTATTGATTTTTTATTTTGATTTTTAAAAGAAATTATTATTTATTTAATTTTTTATTTTCAAATCCTTTCCCAACATTACAATTTGAAATTTAAAATTGAAATCCAAAATGTGAAATCAATTCAGAAGAAAATTCAAAAGAGTGAGCAATTCCAATGTAGAAAGCATTTAAAAGAGCTGAGTAATTTCAATGTACAAATAAGTGGGACATTGAATGAGTTGTTTGCCACCATAAATGACTAACCTAGTTTTCTATTGATTTTTTATTTTGATTTTTAAAAGAAATTATTATTTATTTAATTTTTTATTTTCAAATCCTTTCCCAACATTACAATTTGAAATTTAAAATTGAAATCCAAAATATGAAATCAATTCAGAATTCGAATTTCAAAAGAGTGAGGAAATACACAGAAGAATTATCATTAAAAATCTTGTTCCTCTATGATTTCAACTTTCAAGGAATGAGAAGAAAATCGAAATGGAGAGTAAATGCGCATTTCCCCTTTTATTTCATTTGATAGCGGCTATCTCCTGATGTCAACCGGCCATTAGTGTTAACATTATTTGCAATAACCGCATTGGGCTGTTTTTTCTTGGACCGAGCACGCTTATTCTGGAACCAATTACAGACATTTTTCTCCAAAATATTTCCATGATTGGCGAGTTCCGCAGTAATCTCGTTTATCATTTTCCTGTCTGGATTCGGTGTCACCTGCTTAAATATTTTCTCCATGATCTGAAGCTGCTCAGTTGTTGGAGTCCACCTCGGCTTCATGTTAAATATTCCCTTTGATGTGTCTCCTCCATACATATTTACCGGCTTAACCACCTCTGACGTCACTGAAAACACCACACCCATTTGTTTCAGTATATTTGTTACAACCGCCTCAGACCAGTGTAACAAACTCTTAACAGAAACAACCCTAACACATTCTAACCGTTTACAGTTACACGGTTAGAATGTAAACGGTTAGAATGGGTAACTTACTATAACAAAAATTTATTACGGTGAATAATAAGTGATAAAAAAATAAAATTGTGAAAAAAGATGAATGGAAGAAAATAGGGAATGACCTTGAGGAGGAGCTTGGCGAGCGGCACGGTGTGCCCTGTACTTCTCAGCGAGTTGTTCAGAGAGGGTTTCGTAAGCAGCAATTTGTAT